GAGCATCTAAGGAGGAGAGGGGGAGCAAGGGGGGAATACGTGGGGGGACATAATAAAGTTGCACAGTTTTATGGGTGATGGGTGAGTTAACAAAATAGGAAAGATCCAGTGAGAATCATAATGTATTTGAATTTTGTAAGTAAATCAATATAAAATAAAAAACGAATTTGTTTTATAAAAGGTTAATATTAAAAAAATGAAAAGAATATGAATTTTCTTCCTAACCCTGCCATGATTGTGTGTGTGTCCCAGGTGTCCAGAACACCATTTACATTCTTTCCCTATCTGCCTCCTTCCCTACAGCCCTTGCAGGTGAGGGGCAAACCCCTCTATCACTCTATGGATCACTGTTTCCCATGCAGCTGAGACACAGTGGAAATAAAGGAAACACGCAGCAGGCCCTTAGCAGGCTCCCAGGTTGTTGTTAGCACCAACCAGGAGCTCTGATGGGAGAGTCTGTACCTTCCCTTTGGCAGCTGTCACACTACTACTGTAAATCATAAAAGTATCTCTTCAAGGATGGAGCACTGTGGTATTCCTTTAAAACCTCTCCTCCAGATTGTAGGCAGATGTATATGACACTGATAGAGGTACATGTCTAATCAATTAAAACTAATGTATGATCTCCAAATATGTATATGTAATTGTTTATATACTATATTAATCTAAATTGATACATACAAGAATATATTGATATAACAGAGTGACACTATTGACTGGAATAGTGGACTCCAGTATGTAAAAAATGAAGAGGATGGCTCAGAATACGTCAGTGTTCAGATTTGTTGTTCATGAGGTTTCTATTGGTCATACTGGACATGACTGCACCTAAAAACAATGACAACATTTGTATATGACAACCAATAATTAGTTTTTCCTATACATGGACTAACAATGCATTGATTTCCTATTCTCCTGAATACTAATGTCATGAGGTTCAAGGTCATCAGAAGAAGCCATGACTGAATTTCAGTATGACATTTCCCCTCAGTATCAAGGATATCATCCAAAAAGAGTGTGAACGTTCATTATAAAGACAGAAGAGGAAGAAAAGACCAAAATGGATGTCAGAAGAAACTCTGAATATTGCGCTGGAGCGCAGAGAAGCCAAAGCACAAGGAAGAATTCAAGATACTAAAGAGCTGAACAGAAGATTTCAAAAGGCTGCTCAGAAAGACAAAGGAAAATATTACAATGAAATGTGCAAGGAGCTGGAGTCAGAAAACCAAAAGGGTTGAACTCACTCAGCATTTATTAAGCTCAAGGAACTGAAGAACAAATTCAAACCTCGAGTTGCTATAATCAAGGGTGCTTTAGGCAGAATATTAAATGATCCAGGAGGTAGCAAAGGAAGATGGAAAGAATATACTGAGTCATTGTACCAAAACGAATTGGCAGACAGAGAAGAATTTAATGAAACAACATATGAGCAAGAGCCTACGGTGATGAAGAAAGAAGTTCAAGCTGCTTTGAAAGAAGTAGCAAAAAATAAGGCCCCAGGAATAGATGGTATACCAGTTGACATATTTCAGCTAACAGATGCTGCCCTGGACGTGCTCACCAAGTTGTGTCAAGAAATGTGGAGAACAACCACTTGGCCGACTGACTGAAAGAGATCTGTATTTGTTCCCATTCCAAAGAAAGGTGACCCAAAAGAGTGTGAAAACTACAGAACAATATCATTGATTACACATGCAAGCAAGATTCTGCTGAAAATTATCCAAAGATGACTGAAACAGCACATCAGCAGAGAACTGCCAGTAGTCCAGGCTGGGTTTAGAAGGGGTCGTGGTACTAGGGATATTGTAGCTAATGTCAGATGGATCTTGGCAGAAACCAGGGAATACCAGAGGAATGCCTATCTGTGCTTCATTGATTATGCAAAGGCGTTTAACTGTGTGGATCATAACAAACTGTGGCTGACTCTGAGAAGAATGGGAATCCCAGAGCACTTGATCATGCTAATGTGAAACTTATACTTGAACCAAGAGGCAGTAGTCAGAACAGAGCAAGGAAACACTGCATGGTTCAAAATTGGGAAGAGCGTATGCCAGGGATGTGTCCTGTCTCCATACCTTTTCAAACTGTATGCACAATAGATCATCTGGGAGGCTGGGCTCTATGAGGAGAATTGTGGCATCAGGATTGGTGGAAGATCCACAATCAATCTGTGTTATGCAGATGACACAACCCTGCTTGTTGAATCTGAGGAGGACCTGAAGCACTTGCTGCTGAAGGTCAGGGACTGCAGCCTTCAGTATAGATTGAGGCTCAATGTTAAGAAGACAATGTCAAGATTCTCACCACTGGACCAATTGGCAGCATCAGAATGGATGGTGAAGAGATTGAGATTGTCTGCAGCTTTAGTTTGCTTGGCTCCACAGTCAACACTCTTGGCACCAGTAGCCAGGAAATGAAAAGACGTATTGCCATGGGAAAGTCTGCTGTTAGGGACCTCTCTAAAGTACTCAAGAATAACGGTGTGTTTCTGGAGACAAAGGTGCATCTGGTACAGGCCATGGTCTTTTCTATCACTTGTTATGTATCAGAGATCTGGACAATGACCAAGGAGGATAGAAGAAGAATTGATGCTTTTGAGCTTTGGTGTTGGAAAAGAGTGCTGAAGATGCCATGGACTGCTAAGAGAACAAACAGATTCATTCTGGAGAGGGTTAAACCTCCTTGGAGGCAAGGATTCTGAGGCTTCGCCTGACATACTTTGGTCATGTTGTAAGGAGAGACTAGTCTTTGGAGAGGGACATCATGCTTGGGAGGGTGGAGGGCAGGTGCAGGAGGGGAAGGCCCTCTGGGAGATGGATTGATTCGGTGACTGGGGCAATCGGGATGAGTGTGTTGGAGGCAATGAGATTGGCACAGGACAGAGCAGAGTTTAGAGCTGTTGTACATAGGATCGCCATGAGTCGCAAGTGACTCCATGGAACATAACAACAACAACAACAACAACGTATTGTAGATAAGGACCTTTTCTTCACTACCCTAATGCATTGCCCGATATTCTCTAGTCTGGGAGGGGCTAGTTAGGACAGAATAGCAACTCATAGAGGTTGAAGTTTATTCCTAATAGGAAGGACTGTATGCTTCCCTTCTAACCCATACTCCACAGAGGGTCAATACGGGACAAGTGGTCACCACACTTTGTTTAGAGATGTAATTGAGCTGTGTTTTACCAAACCTGTGTGTTAATAAACATGACACATATCATAAAAAAAGAAATATCAAATCTGTGAACTATATGAAAGTCCATGTTTATTTATAGAGGACCAAATTTTCCATTCAGTCCCTCCTAGGTGGACACAAGCCTCTCCAAGGCATTTGAAACCCTTTGACGGCCCAGGAGACAGTCAGTGGAGGGATGCTGAGGTTGGTGTTGGAAGAACAAAGGTCTGTGGCTGATGTTTGAGCTAATATTCCAGGACATGGAGGTCCTCCATAAAGGCGGGATTTGCATCCTCTCAGGGGAGATTGGGCTCTGGGGTCCCCAGTTGTTTCTTCTGTCTTGGCTTCCCCAAAAATGCCTTTGGCTCGGGCCAGACTTTTCCAGAAAAACCATTTTTTTCTTTTGTGTCTTTTCTCTCCTGGGGATGACATGGCTTCCTCATCTACTGCTTCAGATGCGAAACAACTGAGAAAACAATATCATCTTCCTTCTCTTTCTGCATTTGGATGGCAATAGAGCCCTTTAGAGTGTGATCTTTTATCTCCCTTTCTTGGGATGTGTCATAATATAGTATTTGTACAGCCAACTGCTTGTCCTTAGTTAGTGGACCCAGCAAAGGTTGGTTCTGTGAAGCCTGGGGCACTGTAGGCTGGGAAGCCCCAGGAAACCTTGTTTGATTTGTAATAACATTCATGTTGGTCTCATTATTTTGAAATTGATTCTTCTATTTTCTCCTCTCACAAGTGGCTGGAGGGAGCTCTGGGACCCCAAGGAGAGGAGAGAGCTGATACCTGATGTGAGGCAGTAAGATCAAAGCTATCACTCTCTTCCCAGGGGTCCTGGGATGACTTGTGCAAATGGTCTTTGGGAGGATTTGTGCTCTTTCTGGTGGAAGGAAGCTCAAGTCCTTCCCCAACTTCTCCATGGCCCTCTGAGGCTCTGGGCTTCCCTAGGTGTTCTTTCTTTTCAGTTAGAAAGAATATGTGAAGTAAATCCTTGCTCCTTTTATAGTTAAAAAACTTGGGGAACCATTGCTCCCCCAAGCTGGTGTGGGATACTCCCGTTTCCACCAGAGCAGAGACTGTCCGCTCCTCTGTCATGCTCTTACTGACGCAGTGGGCAAACCCAGGAGCTCTGGCGCCAGCTCTCTGCTGACTCAGCAACACTGGCTTGAGTTTGATGATAAGCTGAGTTTTCAAGTGAGTCAGTTCAGGATCTCTCTTATCATGAGTTGTGACTTTAGGAGTAAAAATGGTCCTGTTCTCGTTACTTCCAAGGACCTCTTGCACACACACGTTCTTGAGCATTGCTGCAGCTTGTTCCCTGGACTCCCTGAATGTAAAGGGAATTCTCCGCCATGTCTCTAGGCTCTTTCTTCTTAGTTGGAATTTTTGTTTTCTCAAGATGGGTGTTTTACATGAACCTAGAAGGTCACTTTTGTTTCCTAGAGGCACTGCTCCCATATTTTTGTCCCCTAGAACTTTAACAGATAACTCCTGTATGCTGCCCACACAAGAGGCACTGAACTTTGGGAAGCTTCCAGGAATTCTTGAGTCCCCAGAGACAGACATGTGAGCAAGGACAAGACTGGGATGCATCTGCCAACGTTTGGATGTTATTTAGCTATTCCTTAATGCTTTAGTCTGAGTGAGCCAGTGGGCCCTATGGAATAATATTGAAGCCGAATTAGGTCACTAAACTCACAGGTCTCTGGGGCTGTAACTTGGGAGATAAGATTTCCCAAGGCTGTGTTGATCCAGGGCAGGGGCTGTTGGTCGGTATGATGTGGTAATGACTTAAAGGATTTCAGGGTTACACCCCATTAATGTTGAGTCAACTTCTTTTGGGGCTGGGACTCCACCAGCCTCCAGGCACTATAGAAGACGACTGTATGTTCCCTTAGGAGAAGTGACCCGGGGGACTCTCCTAGCCAGGAAGTATCCACAGTCTCAGGAGTTTGGATTGTGTCACGTCCTCCATATGGCATGAGGCTCTGAGTGTACTTATATCTCTGTAGAACAGCTAACATGTCCCTCCTCAGGGGCAGCTGCATCTGTAGCAGGTGACACTCCATGGCTTCACATGCACCCAGAGTGAGATATTGGACATTGACATTAATTTCTCTGTGCTCAAGTACAGAGGTTGAGTTTGAGGTAAATGTGGAAGAATATGGTGCCAAGGAGAATGGGCAATTTGGCTCCAGCAAGTAGTAGTAATACACACTACAGAGAGATGGAATATTTGGCAAGGGCTGGGACATGGAGCCGTCCATGGACAGAGCTTGAGAGCCTGTGAAGGTGGCAAGTAGGGTCTCATTATAGAGACGAATGTGGCCACAGTTGAGTGCGCTGTGATTCTGGGTTTGATAGGCCCTTGTGTCTTTGGCCTGTTTCCCAGGTCGTGTATAGGATCTAAATAGGCCTCTAAAGCGTGCAGAGGGCAAAGCCAGAGCCAAATCATTTGGGATTTTCTAGTTGTAGTTGTTTTATTTTGTGTCTATTATGGGCTGTTCAGAAACAGAGAAGACCAGAATAGAGGGGCTGATAATACGTGAGCCCAAGGTGTTGTGGTAAGTGGACCCAGTTGTTTCAGCACAGATGGTAAAAGTATCGTTCCTGAAGAATGGAATTAGCTGGCTATTTGCAGACTGGTTACTTGATAATGGGTCCATCTTCTTGTGCTTCATGGAGCACTTCAAGTACCTGGGTTGCCCCCATCTCTGGAATTGTAGCCATTTTTTAACATGGATCTCAAGAAGCTTGAGGGTTTCAGAATTGCCTCATGTCAAGTAAGATTGGAGCACACTGACTTTTTACAAAGCTACAAAGTCAGTGCCATTGGCTAAAACTACATTTAAACACAGCAAAATGACTCGAAATTTCAAAGTTTGTTTATTCCGAATACCATGTACAACTAGAAGATTTCTAGACATCATATTTTGTTGGTGCACATTTATCTTAGGCTCATTGAAACTTGAAATAGACAAACTATCTGGGGTCCTGGACATAGTTGGTAGTTGAAGTCCTTGCCCGAGTTGCAGGTGTTCAGCCCAGTCAACTTGGATGCTGACCACATACTTTGATAGAACAGCCATCTGGCTTAAGGATTTCTCTTCTAATAGTTGTAACCTTGTGAAGGTTTCTGATGAAAGAGCGGGCTCCCTGGAGTGCTTGGTCCCCAGGGGCAGACTCAGCTCATGGAGACCAGATAGAGACAAAATCTCTAGGTAAGAGAAGCTCCGTGATGCTCCAGCTGAAGTGGAGACAATCGGGGTGTTTCTCTGAGACAGCGGTTGCTGTGATTCTTCAGCTGAAGGGGAGGCAGTCAGGATTTCTTGCCCTGACATAAACTGCTGAATCTCGAGAGGCACGCGACTGGAGACGTGGTAACGGGGCTGCACACAGGAGACGGTCCTGGGGAGAGCAGCCATGGCTGAAAGGGAAGCATGACAACCATTACTGATGCGGTGTCACCTCCTTCCTGGGACGAGTGTGGTCTGGGGGACAGACGTTGTCCTCCCCCTGACATCCCCCTAGTGATCTACCACAGTGCTTGTTAGGCCTGGTTGAGCCAAGGGTTTTGGTCTTGTGGGGCGAAGGTTCAGGCACCTGAGTGGGTGGATATGGCCCCAGAGAGGACTAAGAGGTGGAGTCCATCCTCTGGTGAACTGTGTTGAGAAACTGAACCAGAAGGGAGTCAGGTGAGTGAGGATGTCAGGTGGTGAGGAGGATGTCGTCATCAACTATAAACTGGAATAGTCTTATTTGAGGCTGTAATAGCGATGCCTGGTCCATACTGTACATACCATCTGTTAAGCTTTGGGAACACTAGATCCCAGGGACAGGGAATTGTCCTGTGTATCTGTAGCCCCAGAGGCTTCTATGTACAGCTTCTCTGTGGGACCAATCTTGTTGACTTGAGATCTTAGTAAGATAAAGTGATATGATTCTTTCTGAAGATTGTCCTAATGAGTAACTTCCTAATGTTTGAAGGCCAAGCCAAATGCAAAGGTCTCATCAAACTTGAAAAGATAGCAATTTAAGAGGGTAGGAAATAGTGACATATCTATGTAATTTAGTCTCTAGACTAAAGAAGTTGTCTGTTTGCTAAGCATCTTATAAATTATATACTAGTTTAAACTGAGATTCAGTAAGAATGTTGCTGTAGCAAAGAATGACCATAAAAGTGTTCTCTTTGGGGCTCTTCTTTAACCTGTGCTCCGACAGTGCTCTCAGCCAGAGACCCAGGGTCTCCTATGCATGGCTCCCTCCCAGATATTATCCCTCTGCCCATCTTTGTCCCTCCCCAAAGCCAGAAATCATCACAGGTCAGGCCAAAACTCGGGAGGCAGCAAAGAACAGGAAGTAGAGAAGTTACCTTTTCATGTCAGAGAGCCACTCTGGCAGGTTCTCAGAATCGTCCTGGGAAGCTTTCCCAGCTGTGGAACCAGGAGACAGTGTCATGTGGAGCAGAGAATTTCAAAGGCAGTCTGTTAGAAGCTGAGTGGTACAGTCTGTGACTCCCAGTGTGGACTAATGACTCCCCAGGGTCATGCTCAAGTTGCACATGTCTGTGCTTAACTGAAACATTTCTGACGTGTCACCTCCCCCTCATCTCATTTGATGCTATCAGTGTGAGCAAGGCAGGAGCGTCTGGTATCTGCCCATAACAACGTGACATGGAATGAATTCCATAGTATCACAAAAAATAGTAAATAACACAGGATTTTCGGTCCTATTTCTTCATTTCTAGCAGGCAGTGTGCAGAAATTTGCACTTTTGGAGGCTCTGATTTCCTATCAAGGGATATTTTCTGAAAAGTTGTTAATTTGGGAAGTTTAGCCTCACTCCTGCCACCAAGACTCAGAGAAGGTCCATGGGAACCTCACCCACGTTTAAGGGGAGCTGAGGACAGCCTGGGACTTACCTCTTGATGTTGCATCTGTAGCCTTTTCACTGACCGTTTCATGTTCTTTGAGGATGGAAAAAATGATCACAACACAAAGCTATTACACAAAATCATTTTCCTGTGTAAAATTAGACAAACCTGTAAACATTTTCTAATCTTGTTTCTATATTTGATACGTTTTCTTGTATTTCCTTTCCCTAGCGTTCTTCTTTGCCCCAACATTTTCTTTCCCTGCTTATTTCTGACACATTTTCAGATTCTCCCAGATTCCAAAACTTGCACCTCATTCCTAGGACAGGTCTGTGGAGTTCTTAGGTAGTCTCAACAGGAAGAGTGGGACAGAATAAAAGATTTATGGTCCAGTGGACAAAAGCTTCAACTTACAGAGCCTCAAGGAACCAACCAGAAGTCTGTGGAAGTGAAGGGTCCACAAAGACACCTGTCTGAGGACCAGCCCATGTCAGGTAGAGAGGCTCTTAGTTCATCAATTAGAATAGAAAGCACAGAAAGGTGATAAGGAATTGTTTCTAGGAGCTTAAAAGTATGTCATTAAACCAGAATAACTGAAAGTTACATAGAAAATATTCTTTCCCAGAGCAAAGGAGAAGATGCAGAGAGAAGCTGAAGGTTTAAAAACTTCTTGTTTGAACTAAACATTTCACTATTTTCAAAATATTTCCTTCCATAACCACCACTTCTGCTTGATTCTAAACTTAATTCGTGGTCTCCGTTTCACATGCTTTACTGTTCGTGTAATGCAGGAAAGGAGCTGAAACAGTGAGTGTATAAAGGATAGCCAGCATCCCTCGGAGCAGATGTAAATCAGAGCAGAGCCTCAGTCTCATCAGTATCAGGAGAGCAGTCACTGCTTTAATCTGACAAGACACTGATTTCTTAAATTTGTTCAAAACTCCAACACCTGAAAAGTCAAGCAACACAATTACAAAATCTGCAGAGGGAAAGAATAGACAGTTCGCTCACAAAGACATTCAGATGGTAAATAAACTTGAGAAGAAATGCTCAAGACCAGGAGCTATTGTTGTTGTTAGGTGTTAGTCTAGTTGAAAGTGGCAGTGTCCCTGTGAACACAGGCCTGAATCTTGTCCTGTCTTGTGCCATCCTCATCATCTCTGACGTACTTGAGAGACGGAGAACAATGAGCCATCCCCTTACATTGACATAAATAGTAATATTCAGTATGACATCACACAGTAAATGCTGACAAGTCGTGGAGAGATTGTCACTTCCCTACACTGCTACTGTGAATGTAGGATGTTACACCCGCTATAGAAAGCAGCTTGGTGAATGGAAATGTCACGTTACCCAGCAGCCTCACCAGCAGGTTGTAGGCCAGATAATGAAGAGCTGCATCACAAATGGCCACACTCACAGGCCTGTTTACTGCAGCAGTTTTTATAATTGCCAAGTTATAAATGACCCAGACGTCCATCATTGTGGACAGATAAAGAAATGGGATACCTTCACACAGTGGAGAGCTATTATGTGTCAGTAAAACACAATTGAGTATTTTTGAAGTACTAAACATCATGCAAGAAACTAAAACTCATAATAATGAATGACATACAATAGTCAGAAACTTACATTATGGGATGAAACCGCTATTATAGAAAGCTAAGGAAAGGTTACATGCTGAATCAATCTTGAGGGACTCAGGGATCACAGAGGGGAGGGCAAGGGGAACAAAATTTACTCATTAGCAGGTAAAGGGAAAGACAATATACAGTTGAATATATATTAATTATATAGTAGTTTGTAATGAATATTAGAGAAAAAAATGTGCATCAATTATCCCTTGAAAACCAATATAATTTATAGACTTTCACTCAATAAAGATAAATGAAAACAAAATTCTTGTCTGAGACTTAACATTTGACTGGTGTTCAGTGTTTCCTTACCTTGTAATCCTTCCTGTTGGCCTCCACATTCCTAAATACCTGATACTTCTTTTGAATTTGATTTAAAATTAACATATGGCAAATGCTAAAGACAAATCTGGAAATAGAATGGGGCTATCCAATATCCCTGAGAAGAAAATTAAGGCTCAACATGATCTAAGTCTCATTGAAATGAGGAGACCAATAAGCACAGTAACTAGGCGTCCAGAGTACTGGGACCTAATGACTCCAGGTGTAAGCCTGGTGTCCAGTGACTCCTGGGCGTAAGGCGTGTCATCTCTCTGTCACAGTGATGTCGCAGTATCAGGGCTCCAAGGCAGTTGGCAGTTGGCTGAGGTAGGGGTTTAGTCTGTAGCTTAGGGCATCTGGTCAACTCAGAGGGTTTCCACTCACCAAACCCTGCACTAAATATATAGGTTCATTCTCTGTGTTACAAAAGTTTGATTGCCTCTCTCAATTTCTGTCACATTGTGTTTGAGCTTCAACTCATAGTTGACCCTCCACTGTGTTTTCAAAGACTATAAATCACACATGAGGAGAATGTCCAACTTTATCCCTCATAGCTATTGATACTTTTGAATTTAGCTCTGGGTTGAATAACCCCCCATGCCCCCCCCCCCGCAAATATTTGTGGGAATTTAAAAAAAATCCCTGTTTAAACATATATTTTTTGCAAGTATCATTGAGTACTAGCAGCCAGGAAATTAAAAGACAGATATTTCATTGGAAAACTCTGCTATCAGAGACCTCTCCAAAGTACTGAAGAGCAACAATGTTAGTCTGAAGACTAAGATGCACCTGATACAGGTCATGGTATTTGCAATTACTTGGTATTCATCAGAGAGCTGGACAATGACTAGGAATGATAGAAGGAGAGTTGATGCCTTTGAGCTGTGGTGCTGGAGAAGAGTATTGAATATATCATGGACTGCTAGGAGCACAAACATGTTTGTACTGGAGAGGGTGAAGCCAGGCTGCTCCTTGGAGGCAAGGACTCTGAAGTGTTGTCTGATGTACTTTGGACATGTGACAAGGTGACATCAGTCCCTTAGATAAGGGACTTCATGCTTGGGAGGGTAGAGGGACAGCGTAGTAGAGAAAGACCTTTAATGAGATGGATTGATTCAGTCACTGGGGTAATAGGGATAGGTTTGTCAGAGACAGTGAGATTGGTGCAGGATAGGGCAGGGTTTAGGGCTGTTGTACATAGAGTCACTATGAGTAGCAGGCGACTTGATAGTACATAACAACCACCACCACCACCACCACCACCATTGAGTACAACTCATAGCAACCTTATGAAACCCAGATCTAAATCCTGTCCTACACTGTGTCATCCTCACAAACTCTGACACACTCAAGCCATTGCTGTATTCAGTCCCCCTGGTTGAAAGTCACCCTCTTTTCTTCACTGTCCTTCCAGCTTCCCAACCGTGATGTCCTAACAAGGCATATCGTCTCCTAGCAACATGCCAAAAGTATGTGAGATGAAGCTTTATCGTCTTTGCCCCATGAAACACTCTGGCTGCCCCTTCTCCAAGACATATCTGTTTTTTTCTTTTGGCAGTCCATGGGATATTCAGTACTCTTCTTCAACACTGCAGTTCAACGGCATTGATTCCCCTGTCATTCTTTTTCATTGTCCAGCTCTCAGATGTATAACAAGGGATTGAAATGACTATGGCCTGAATCTGTTAATCCTTAGTCCTCAGATAACATCGTTGCTCCTCAGTAACTCGGAGAAACCCTGACTGCAGACTTCCTTAGTGTAAAATATCTTCTGATCTCCTGATTGCTAGTACCTGGAGTATTAATTTTTGTTGTGTACCATAGAGTCGGAACTGACCCATAGCTGATCCTTCAGAGGGTTTTCAGAGGTAGGTAGTCAAACACACAGGAGGAGACTGTCAGAACAGCTGGTGCCCTTGAAACATGTGTCTTCAGGATTGCATCACAGCTTTTTATTACTAGGCCATCAGAGCATTTAAAAACATAGGACACTTTATTATAGAAAGAATAGCCACGTCCCAGGAATTTCTATCAACTCCCTCATTGGGATTGGAAACATACCTGAAAGGCACACAATAATTAGGGTTTGCTCTCTCTGGTTAAAACTTGGAGGGTATTGCTGTTATAGATAATGGTGATTGGTAACCAGAGGGGCAGGAAAGGAATCCAGGCAGAAATATCTCTCAGTGACATTGTGAGACCAAGGAAGGCATGCTTCCACCCTGTGTGGGCAGGAAGATACTAGAACAGTCCTTCCTGGGAGCACATGAATGAGCCTCACCTCTGAAGGCCTGGTTTTCCAGAACTGCCAGCACAGATGTGACAGACTCTGTCTCTACATGGAGATGATTATCTACAAAAATGAGTTATTAGCTACTTTAAATGGAGGAAAAAAAATACTACTTGTTTCAGTTAGATTTCCTCGTCTATTCTGGATGTATGTTGTCTGACTGGAGGAAGTTTTTTCTCTCACTTTTCTTTAACCTGGCCTTTGGTAACCTTGGAACAGGTTAAGTGTTTTCCAGTTCCTGTCCCAAACCTATAAACTCCTGCTCTTCATCCTTATTTTGTACATTTCCCCTAGCTGTTTAACTTGTGTAATTATTGTGATATGCTACTAACACTGTTGTTGTTATGTGCTGTCGAATCTCCTGTGACTCATAGTGACCCTATGTACAACAGCCCTAAACCCTGCTCTATCCTGCACCAATCTCACTGTCTCCAACACACCTACCCCCCATCACCCCAGTTTCTGAATCAATCCACCTCATAGAGGGTCTTCCTCTCCTGTGCTGTCCCTCTACCCTCCCAAGCATGACGTCCCTCTCCAAGGATTGGTCCCTCCTTACAACATGTCCAAAGTTTGTCCGATGAAGCTTCAGAAGCCTTGCCTCCAAGAAGCAGCCTGGTTTAACCCTCTCCAGGATGAACATATTCTTTTTCTTAGCAGTCCATGGTACATTCAATACTCTTTTCCAACACCACAGCTTAAAGGCATCAATTCTCCTTCTATTCTTCCTACTCATTGTTTAGCTCTCTGACACATAACAAGTGATTGCAAAGACCATGGCATGTATCAGGCGCAGCTTAGTCTCCAGAGTGACACCATTGCTCTTCAGTACTATGGAAAGGTCCCTAACAGCCGACTTTCCTATCACAATACGTCTTTTAATTTCCTGGCTGCTGTTGCCAAAAGTGTTGACTGTGCAGCCAAGCAAACTGTTAACAATCTCAATCTCTTTACCTTCCATCCTGATGCTACCAATTGGTCCAGTGGTGAGAATCTTTGTCTTCTTGATATTGAGCCTCAACCCATATTGAAGGCTGCAGTCCTTGACCTTCTGCAGCAAGTGCTTCAGGTCCTCCTCAGTTTCAGCAAGCAGGGTTGTGTCATCTGCATAACACAGATTGCTGGTGAATCTTCCTCCAATCCTGATGCCACACTTGTCCTCATACAGCCCAGCGTCCCAGATAATCTGGTAGACTCATAGCGACCCTACGTATGACAGATCCTGTTATACAGAATATATCCTGTCCTTTTCTGTGCAATTAGGGAATTACAAATGAAAGCCATATGGTGTATCAATACACATTAATGAAATGAAAACAAAAATGTTGTGACAATACCACGTGTTGGCCAGAGTATAGAGAAAGTGGATCACTCATGCATTGCTGTGAGAAGATAAAAGGGTTAAACTTCTTCTAAATAGTATTTTGGCCATTTATTTTAGAAAAGTGAATCTATACATACCATGCCATTACACTTCTGGGCATTTTTTTTCAGGAGAGATGAAAGTTTAGCCTTATGTTGCAAATCTCTGTATATGAAGATTTATAGAAACTGTTTTCCTAACAGCCAAAATCTGTAAACAATCCTGGTATCCTTCAATAAGTGAGTGGCTAAATAACTAGGGTAGACCCATGCCATGGAATACCACTCAGCAATGAAAAAGAACTGGTTTTCATAGAATTATGTTCGTAGGAAAAAAATAATCTTGAAAGATTGTATATTGTGTGATTACATTTAAAAATATTTAAAAATTATAACATTTTCAAAATGGTAAATATAATTTCCAGAAATTCAGGAGAAAATTGGGTGGGGGCAAAATGGTCATAACTATAAAGGATAACAAGAAGAAATTGTGTGGTGATATAAATGTTCTATATCTTTTCTTTGTCAAAATCAATATTGTTGGTACTATTTTGCTACTATTTTTTGGAAGGTGTAAACATTAAGGGAATTAAGGTAAAAGCTGATTTTCTCTGTATTATGTCTTATACTTGAATCTATAGTTATTTTAAAAAATTGATACTTTTCCAAAGTTTGTATCCATCCATTTATTCATTAATATTCTATCAACCCCTCTACTGTCCTCTGGGCCATGGAGATGAAATGATGACTGTTTTCTCTTTACAGAAACACTGTGATATGAAAAACATAAGTATGTGGAAACAAGAAAACTTCAATTAGCAAACAGCTTGAGCAGATGTGCATGCCAAAGTTGAGGTAGCAGAGTTAGGTGTGTGC